AGCCAATGGGTCTACAAGACCAAGTTTTTGTCTAATGGGAATGTTGAGCGTCTCGAGTCTCGTTTGGTTGTGTTTGGTAATCATCAGAGAGCAGGCATTGATTATGATGAGACATTTGCTCCGGTGGCCAAAATGACAACAGTCAGAACCGTTCTTGCCATAGCAGCTTTGAAAAATTGGGAACTCCATCAAATGGATGTTCACAATGCATTTTTACATGGTGACCTTGATGAGGAGGTATACATGAAGCTACCTCCCGGGTTTGAAAGTAAGGATCCCAACTTGGTTTGTAGATTACGCAAGTCTATATATGGTTTGAAGCAAGCTCCCAGATGTTGGTTCACAAAGCTTGTCAAGGCTTTGAAACAGTATGGTTTTCTACAATCTTACTCTGATTATTCATTATTTACATACACTAAGACTAACATTCAAATAAATGTCTTAGTTTATGTCGATGATCTCATTATTTCTGGGAATAATTCCGTTGTACTTATTGTTTTTAAAGCCTATCTTAGTGATTGTTTCAAGATGAAGGACCTTGGTCCTTTGAAATATTTTTTGGGCATCGAGGTTGCTCGTAGCTCTGCAGGCTTATTTTTATGTCACAGAAAATATATTTTGGATATCATCTCTGAAGCAGGTTTATTAAGTGCAAAGCCAAGTGGGTTTTCGATGGAACAAAATCACAAGCTCGGCCTAGCAAGTGGTGCGCCACTTTCGGATCCAAAGCAGTATAGAAGGCTGGTTGGTCGTCTGATATACCTTGCGGTAACATGACCTGACTTATCCTATTCAATTCACATACTATCTCAGTTTATGCAAGAACCCCGTAGTGAACATTGGGAAGCGGCGTTGAGAGTAGTGCGCTATTAAAAGGGCACTCTGGGACAGGGTATTCTTTTGAGCTCTGATTGTGACTTAAATTTTCAAGGTTGGTGTGACTCAGATTGGGCCGCCTGTCCTCTTACACGGAGGTCTTTTTGTATGGGTGGCTAGTGTTTCTTGGCAAGTCACCTATTTCATGGAAACTAAAAAGCAACACACAGTGTCAACATCATCGGCAGAAGCCGAATTCAGGTCCATGGCGGCTATTACTTGTGAACTTATATGGTTAAGAGCTCTACAGTTGAGTTTAGTTGTTCAGCATCCGAAGGCAATTAAATTATTTTGTGATAGTGAGTCAACTCTGCACATAGCTAAGAACCCGGTTTTTCATGAACGAATGAAGCACATTGAAGTCGATTGTCACTTTGTTAGAGATGCAATTACTGATGAAGGCTTGATCTCTCCCTCTCATGTTCCAACCAACTCACAGCTCGCGGATATTTTCACCAAGGCTCTCGGCAAATCTCAGTTTGATTATCTTCTTTTCAAGTTGGGGCGTTTCCAATCCTCACACTCCAACTTGGGGGGTGGGGGTAATGAGATATCGTATAATATATTTTTGTGAGGATATCTTTTGGCAAATATTATCTATTGTATTTTAGTTAATTTCCTAGGATTTAGCATAGCTTTTGATTCTATTGTTAGGAGGTGTTATATATTTGACATATATTTGACAAGTTATTATATATTTGACATTACGATCAATGAGAAATTCAAGCCATTTAATTCTATTTTCTATCTAATTTATCAAAACTATTCCATTATGATATGTACTCATACATTGAATAAGTTGATCATACTCTTTTAAGGCATGCATGGATGAGTTAATTGATGAATTAAATTTGTATGCAACATATTTATTTATCTGTTTTGAAATGTATTTGCACACATTCATTTAACTTATCAAAAAAAAAAAAAAAAAAGACTAGTGTTTTATTAAAAACAACAGTACTCCGTATTAACTGATATAAGGGAATTAATAACTTCTTGACTATATACATTAAGGTTCTTCTCCAATTATAAAGGGTACATAATGTTATAGACCTAATATATGCTTTGTACTTGATTTGAAAAATAGCTATCTTGTTTACCACCAAATTAAAGTAATATAATATAATCCTTTAATGGGACTCTAATTCAATTTTCATTGACAATAAATGACGTAGTTAGTAATTTACTATTACTTCATAGACCGTAAAAGATTAACTTATAAATAAGCAATAGAAATAGAGGTACAAGTGAACTAAGTAATAGATAAAAAGTACGGAGCATACCTCATATAAATATGGCCAAATTAGAAAATAACACCCGATTTTGATAATAACACCTGTTAAAAAAAAAGTTTTATTATAACACCTCCAAAAATCCCAAAATTTTGGTTTCACCACCCACTAACGGATTTTTGGATGAAAACCGTTAGTAGGGCCCGCCATGTACACGTGTCAGTTGTTTATTGGTTTACAAAAAAAAGAAAAATTAAAAAAATAATAATAAAATAAAATAAAAAAGAGAAAGAAAAAAAACTTTAAAATCCCAAACCACACCAGCCACCAGCCACGAACGGTGGCCTTCTCCCTTGCCTACCCCAGAACCAACCAACCAACCACCAGACACCAGCCATCGATTTTCGCCGCCGAACCACCTCTAACACCGGAAATCAGCTCCCCCACCCTTAACCCACCTCGAAAACCGCCCTCACCCCTTACAAAGCCGCCAAAGTACTGTTCCCCTCCCAAACACAACCCCCTTAAATGGACCTCCTCCCTTCCCACATCGCCGAAACCGGCGCCCCCTCCCTTCCCACACCACTGAAACAAGGGTTCGGTGCAATGGCATATATGTACACCGCGTACATGTAGGACTAGTTAGGTTTAATTGAACTTGATCAGGTTCAATGAGTTGTAATAATTATAAAGGCATCAAAATTAAGGTTGATTAGATCAAATAATTAAGTTTAGTTTAATTAGTAGAATTCAAGTGAAGTAGGTGAACAAACCCTAATTAGTCGTGGGAGGCTGGGGGTTCGCGGCCAAGGGTTTAAGGTGATGAGTGGGAGCTCAGCGTTCGTGGGCAGAGGTTTGAGTTTGGTTGGGTCATCGGGATAAGGTAGGGTCGCTGCTGCTGTGTCGCCCGCTGGGGGTGGAGGTGGTTGTGGGCTGGGAAGGAGGCGTTTTTCGGTAGGGGCTCGGCTAGGAAGGAGAAGGGAAGGGGAAGGGGAAGGGAAGAGGCGGCAGGGGCTGGTTTCGCCGGATTATGTGAGGGCAGGGGATGCCGGCGGTAGCGGCGGTTGGGGTAGGTGGTGCCGATGCGGTGGCTGGCTGGGTTAGGGGGTTAGGTTTATCTTATTTTTGTTACTTTTTTCTTTTTTTTTTTTAAACCAATAAACAATTGACACGTGTATATGGCGGGCCCCACTAACGGTTTCCATCCAAAAATCCGTTAGTGGGTGGTGAAATCAAAATTTTGGGATTTTTGGAGGTGTTATAATAAATTTTTTTTTTTTTTTTAACAGATGTTATTATCAAAATTAGGATTTTTAGCAGGTGTTATTTTCTAATTTGACCTATAAATATTTAACTGTTTTTCTTAAATTTAGTATAGTACAAATCAGTGATATAGACGAAATTTTACGCTTGTATAGTACGAGTAATATATTTTGACTACGTTGATAATATAATCACCAGCTACTACTTGTATTTTGTAGGTAATCTAGTAGTAGCTGGTGATTAGTTAAAAGTCTCAGCAAATGAAATGGACGAAGGGGAGGTCAACCAAAGTTTTTCAATTACTCGTTTGTAAGAAAATAAAGTTAAAAACAAAAAAGCCCAACTCTCTCAAAGTGACGGAAGCAATGACAAAACAACTCAAAAGTACGATAATGAGAGGTGCATACGTGGTAACTCCTGATTGGATAGTCAACACGTGTCTAGGCTGCGGTCAGCTGAGTGCTTGTCATCCAAGTAATGTCGGCTCAGCTGTCGATGCATTGTATTGGGATATTACCTCGGTTTTGGAAGTTTTCTTAGTCGCGACAAAACATTGTACAACTCTCTCTTCTTAAAAAATTGTCCCATTATTATTTATTAATGTCAAATTTTTAAGAAAATTAATCAAAAATTTTACAAGAAACAATATAGTTATGTGCAATTTGATAGTTTTGTTAAAAAGTCTACTCTTAGAATATCAACTTTTATAATTTTTATGTGCATAAAATTAAGATATTAATATATTTAAAACATACCGTAAAAAGAATGTGATGATTCTGATATGCAGTGGTAGTAAGTATTTGGAAAATTAGCTATTTATAGCGAATTTGTTGAAAAGATTCCGTATTTGATAAAATTATTTGCTTAGAAAATTAATCTGTAAAAAAATAAAGATAATTATTTATCTACTCCAAATTAAAGCCCACATTTCTCATTTGTAGTTCCTAAAATGTCACTCTACAAACAATGAGGATGATACTTGTAGAAAATGGTCAAAACTTAAGATAAAGTTCCACAATCACGTAAAAAACTCTGTATATAGATAAGTATACTATCGCATACTAAAAAAGCTTATACTTTTTGCATTTCGATTTTCTTCTTTCTTATATCGATTGACATTAAAAGTTTGTCAAAATTGATAAATCTTCATGTGCATTGTGTGTTGAATTAGTATAACTCTTTGAAACCATAATTTGGATAAAGCTTTAAAAAAATTACAGCTAATCTTAACCACTTTTGTCAAAATTAAGTCAAACACAATACATACACTACAAAAATCACAAATAATTTAAACTTCCGACAATCATTTCTCAAGACTAGCTAAAAACACGTAATAAGACCCTGTTCTTTAGAGTTGTTTTGCTCTGTTCTGCTGACACCAGCTTTGCTATACTGAAATCTGCTTTGCCCAAAAGCTCAAAAGAATAGGGCATATATTATGATCCTACGGAGTATCTTAAACTCCTCCGAAATATCTGTACATCACCATTACAAGTGACACAACTCGCAACTTGTGCCTTGGCCTTTGGGGTAGCAGACTAGTTACAAGTATAGTACAACAAAGGTAAGAGTTACTCATTTAGTCTAAGAGTTGAACATTTATTTAATGAGACCAACCTTGTAAAATTTCAACCAAGGGTAGTACTCCAAACACGTGCAAATTAAAAAACCTAAACTAAAAAAAATAAAAAAAATAAAAAATAAAAAAAAAACCCCACCACACCCACCTCTTGACAGAATCCCCCTCTATAAAAAGGGAGTGAAGTCCTCTGTCCGAAGGCCCGTGTTTTGAGCAGCTTCGACTTCGGGATTACCAAAACGAAGCAAAAACCAAAGTATCACTACTACAAATTCGATTTATCGTATTTCTACTACTACTGTTATATCATATTCAAATTCCGGTCAATCCGATTCGATCCGATCCGATTCATTTTTTAAGTAAGAAAAGAAGAAGAATTAGCAAGAAATGATGAGCGAAGAACTCGTTTTACCGCCCGGGTTTCGATTCCACCCGACCGATGAAGAATTAGTGGTTCATTACTTATGTCGCAAGTGTGCTTCTCAACGGATTTCTGTTCCTATTATTGCTGAAATTGATCTCTACAAATTTGATCCTTGGCAACTTCCTGGTAACTTTCTCAAATTTCATTTTATTTTATTTTTTAATAACTTTATTTTATTTATATCAAATTTAATAAATTAATAACCATAATTTAACATGGATGGATCCCCTTCAAGGCGAGATTCTTGGGTAATTGAATTATTTTTCATTTGGGTAAGTTAATTAACTACATATTATATTCATACGTAACAAAAATGAATAAGAATTTGTTGAATTTATATGATTTATTTGAGAAATATGAAATTGATTGAATTTTGTTTTTTTTTTTTTTAAATAGGGATGGCGTTATATGGTGAGAAAGAGTGGTATTTCTTTTCACCAAGAGACAGAAAATACCCAAACGGGTCAAGGCCGAATCGGGCCGCAGGAACCGGGTATTGGAAGGCAACCGGGGCGGATAAGCCCATTGGAAAGCCCAAAACTCTTGGTATTAAAAAAGCTTTGGTGTTTTATGCCGGAAAAGCCCCTAAGGGTGTTAAGACTAATTGGATAATGCACGAGTATCGCCTCGCTAATGTTGATCGATCAGCCGGCAAGAGAACCAATCTTAGGGTAATTTTCATTTTATCCCTTTGTTAATTTTGTTGATCTCTAGTTAATGAATTTCTAATCTTCATTTGTTTTGGTAATTGTTAACTAACCGTTTTAGAGTAATTTCATGAGTTAAAGGGTAAAATTGGAAGTGTGGAATTTGATAAGGGTAGTTTGGTCATTTAGTAATTTGTTGTGATATTTTTAATATTTTTTTTATGTTATAAAAAATTAAAAATGTACGGCTAGGATCACCCTAGTGCTACATTAGGGACCACCCATATGAGGTTTATACATATGAAGACAAATACATTGTAGACCATGGAGCCTTCCAAGAAGTTCTTGTGTTATTGGCATTTTCATGAGAATATATGATTTTTTTGTTTTTTAAATGTATAAAATTAATTATTTTTATGCTTATTTGATTCATCCTCACATTAGAGATAAGATAAGGCTTATCTTTTAATCGTGACACCATTAGATTTTAGGTTCACATCTTTACCAACTTTGTGCTTGGTGTGCTAATTATTTTCGGCCGTTTTTCATGTATATGTACATATTTGATCACGTTACATTTACCTAAGATAAAGATGTCAAATCACGAGTTTATTTCAATAATGTCATGCTTAGTTGTAAAAAGATTTTGTTGCTTGTCATGTGTTGTAATCTAGTACAATTATTATTAGTTTAAATACCATAATTTGTAGTTGTGACTTGTAACATCATATGATCATCTCTTAAGCAACAATAATAATGAGATTCATAAGTCAACAGTTTAGCTAGTACATTTGATAAGATTAATGACGTGTCAGTTTGTCACCATTTTTTCAATAAATGACGGTCCAAATTTCAAATAATTGACATATTTTTTATTTTCAACTATTTCAGCTTGATGATTGGGTGTTATGCCGTATATACAACAAGAAGGGTGTGATTGAGAAGGACTATAGCATTGATCAGAACTCCAAGCCCATGTCAATGCCCAATTCCATGGCCCAATACTCAGACTTTGAGGATCAAAAACCCAATATTTCGACACCGGGCCAGACCGTGCCCATGGGGTACATGACCCCATCACCCATACCCCCGGCGAAAAATGACCTGCTGCATTTCGACACGTCGGACTCGGTCCCTCGGTGCCACACGGACACGAGTGGGTCGAACCATGTAGCCTCACCCGAGTTTATGTGTGACAAGGAGGTCCAAAGTGACCCTAAGTGGAATGAACTAGGCAAGAACAACCTTGACTTCCCTTCGTTCAATTACATGGACCCATTTCCTGAGGACCCATTTGCCTCAACAGCCCAATTTCAGAATGATCAGATGACCAATTTTCAGGACATATTTATGCTCCTTCGGTAAGCTAGCCCGATCCGGCCGGAATGAAGTGGGTAGTCCGATCCAGTGACAAGCTAAGGAGAGGATGCTAGTGAATTTTAAAACTTAGGATGCTGATGAAGAATAGTTTTTAGAAGGATCATTAATTAATCCTTTGTAAATTCATTCTTAAGATTCAGCATGTTAATATGTAGTTTTACCTCTAGGATTATATAGATTTCAGGGGCTTTGTAGAACAATTTTTTGTTATCCAAAAAATATTGCGGGAAATTTAATTATTCAGAATTTCAGTACTTTATCTAGAGATGGATGTATATATGATGCTAGTATGTTTCAGTTGCAAAACTTTTGAGGTGAGTTGTTTTGATAATAGACGAGGAAAAGAATTTTTTTTTTTTTTTTTTTTTTTGTCATATGCACTTGAGTAGCATTACAACTTTAAGTTGAAATAAAGCAAGAAAGAACCCCAACTTAAAATTGAAACAAATGCACAAATGTGGTCGTGGTCTTGTGGCAAAGATTGAAGGCATGTATTTTACGTAATAGATCGAGGGTTTGATTTCTCTCTCCCCTATTTGCTATTTATACACTCATAGCTAATTTGGACCAAAAAAAAGTAAACAATGAAACAAATGTATAGCTTGAGAAGTGATGTAATTAATGGTTTGCTAGCCATTGCCTCAAGCTATCACATACACAAGTTCAATTTCATTGTCTCAGGCTATAAATGTGGCATAATTCTGACCAAGTTTCATTCCATCCTGATCCTTCAACTTTTGCTCACTTTAGAATAAATGATGAAAATTAATCATGAATATTATTTTTCTTTATGTATTTATACTCATTTTTTTCCACATTTGTAAGATGCTCCTAAACTCGAGCATAATTCGAGATTAGATACCTTACACTAGGAGAGGAAAAGATCCTTTCCTTGCACAATTGGATGACTTAGGTTATGATAAGCATATAGTCAAAATCAAGTAATTTAGGATTAGGATAACTATGACTAATACACAGTAAACTAGTATATTGCTAAAAACAAAAAAAAATGAAAAAGAAAATGAAAATGGAGAGTCCTTATCTTTTTCTTGCCACTTTATTTGACTGGATCATAAAAATTACAGAGACGGCTGTAGAGATTAAAAATGATGTTGTGATTGGTTCAATATCAGCTTAAGAGTGGGTCTCATCTCTATGGAATTTGCAAAGACGGCTTTAGAGATTTAAAATGATGTTGTGATTGGTTCACAATCAGCTTAATAGTGGGTTCCATCTCTATGGAATTTGCGGCTTACACCCAACAACATGTCTTAATCCACGTCTCATGTTGTTATATGGTTGGTGTAATTTGATGCTCTCTATAAAATAAAGATAAAATCTTTCTTTTATACACAAATTGAGTAGAGTTGAGCTTGCTTCGAGAATCTCAATTATGAGCATCTTTGAAATTATCAGGTTAATTGAGTCAACAAATTATATTTTAATAGTAATTATATAATCTTATACAATGCTTACAAGAGTGGCAAAGTCCTATATTACTAAAATAATTTGTAATGAGAGTGGAGTAGAAAATTCGATTTGTAAGGTTTATTTACTCGAGCTATATAGTCTATATTGCTCAAATTTTAGTTTAATTCAAGTGTTGTTACGTGCTCTCAAAAAAAAAAAAAAGTATTATTACGAGCTAAATTGATCTTAAAGTTTTGAACTCATGTTGAGAGGTTTCAAGTTTACAAGCACATTTTTTTTGTTTTAAGTTCTCAATTCGTTATCTTCCATATTTGTATCTCACATATATTTAACCCCTTAAAAAAATTTGTTTGTTTGACAAAATCAGCTTTTGTGAAAAATTAGTTATGAAAATATGAATATATATGGTTAAATATTAGTATGTCACATGCCTCACGGTAGTTATTTAACTAAGACGAGTATATTCTTTATATGTGACCTAATTTTAGAGTTATCCTCTGACGAAAGTACCACAGTTTAGATTAAACCATCGAATTTGCATTTGAGTATATTATATTATAAAAGGCAACTACGTAATAGTTAATGGGTAAGTAAAACCCACAAACTATATTCCTAAATAAATAAATGAAATGAATGAATTTGGAAGCACTTGCAGAAAAAACAAGACGCCAGAAATTGTAGTATGCTTTACGCAAAAACTATAGTTATGTCGACGAATGATGGCAACATTATGATACTCTGGACCAAGTTGATCATATGTTTTAGTCCAAATTAAAGGCGTCACAATTTCAATTCCCACTATCAAAGATCTAATATAGGACCATGATGCATATATATGTGATATATACATATTACATACAAGTACATAGAGCATCATAGTATTAAATTATATAGTTCTTTCATTTCACATTAGCTGTTTAATTATTATATATTACGGAGTAATTAATAATTTTCAATGCGCTACTTTAATCATTAATTATATTTGTTGTGTATGGATTATGGAGTATAACTTTATTTCAAAAAAAAAGAAAAAAAGAAAAAGGAAATAAAGTTGATATTTTGAAAATATAAATTATTCATATCATAGACAAAATTATCACAAATTTTTGTGACCTTTTTTTCTTCATTATTGGTAAAAAACAAGGATAATGTCTGTGAGATTTAAATATAAAGTTAAAGTTAACTAATAATGAATAAATACTTTGTTTGAAATACAAAATATAATACATTGTATAAAGTGGGACATGTCTAATAAAATCAAGAGAATATCTAACGTGAAAACGATCTCACTTAACTATTCAACTTATTAGAGAGTGAGGGATACCTCAAGTGGTTAGAACTCCCCTCCCAGTTACGGGTGATCTGAAATCTATATCAGTTTAATAGGACCATATATACGATTGCACCATTTACACACAGATTTATCGATTTGTTAGGACCATAAATTCAATAAATCAGTGGAATACTACTTAGTACTTACCTAATAGCTACTTAAATTACTATGCCTCATCAAATAGCAAAGTGAGTCAAAGTTACCACACGTGAGGTTGTGGCCGCCAGTGACTTTGAAAAATAATGGATACTTCTCGTGGAGTAGATACTGTTGTTGTAACTTCTTTTAGGACCTTTTAGGACTTTTTAATTAAGGTCAAAGCTTATTAAATTAGATTTTATTGTTTTACAAATACATATTATATGTAGCTTTATCAAATTTGCATTATTATTATTATTATTATTATTATTACTTCGTATTATTTTTCACATGATTTACTCTGTGATATTTTCAAATAAACGACAATAAATATAAATAATTTATTAGTTGTAGATGTGTTTTGTATTGAATACAATAAAAAGAAGTGTTGTAAGTCTTTATAAATCAGAGTAGATATTGTTTGGGTCCAATTTAGTCAAAATTGGGCCTGAGCACTAAATGATCCAATTAAAAGCCCAAGGTCAAGGTTCAACTCTCCAATTGCTCAAAAGTCAAAAGTCAGCCCACAAAGTAAGCCAATTGGGCTAAAGCCCAACCTCTCCAAGTATGATGAGGTATAAAAGCCCTCATATTAACACATTCAAGAGGACATCACATACATTATCACATACATTATCACATACATTATCTCATACACTGATTATTCCAATTCGTATGCTCATTCTTGCATTCAGAAATACTCCAAAAAAGCCTCAAGCTACAAACTCTCTTGCATAGTGTCTTCCTTTTTACACATTGTACTGACTTTAGCATCGGAGGGGCCTTCCTCGGAAACACCCCCGAGGCTAGTTTACGTGTGTTCACTGTGCAGGAAACCTTCGGCCCAACACAACTTGGATCGAATCCAGTCTTCTCCATTTCAACGGACCTTCGGCAAGGTCCCATTGTTTTCAACCGAAACAATTTGGCGCCGTCTGTGGGGAAGACTTTCAAAAATCTTTAAGCCAAATTCCTAACCAAGATCATCTTGCAATTATCTTAGCAGCCATGGCTAAGAACCGCAAGAGCAAAAGCCTCCGTCAAGGAGCGGGCGAAAAGCCTAAAACCCCTACACCATCGCCCACGCCGGACCGGAACTCTCCCAAGGGTGCCGGCTCGGGGGGAGGATCACACAAGGAGGATTCCCTATCTCCTATAATGCATGACTCTCAATATAGGCCGGACCACTCTCGGTCTAGCAGGGGTCAGTCTGATCATAGGACATATTCAGTGTCCCGAAGCCAACCATCGGCTGCACGGCCTCATGCCCACACTCGGCCGGGGACCCCTTTGACGGGGCCCAGTTCGGAAGAGGTGGCAAGAGCGCTGGCAGTACTCATGGAGGCAATGAGGGCACAGAATATGCCACCGCCTCGTGATCGAACTCCTCCGCATACCCGGCATCAGCGGAGGAAGTTAGACCATGACGGTGGGAAGCTTCCTTCCTTCCGGGAACTGGAAGAGTGGGAGGAGGATTCTTGGAAAAATGAAAAACAGAGGAAGAAGAACTCTCAATTATTTAAAGGATCCTCATCCTCAAGACCAGCAGCGCATAAGAGCGGCAGCTCAGCTTCTCGGCCAGAATCTACTCGCCGGGAACCCGAGACTGCTCGCAGAAGCGTCCTTGACCGACTCGGCGGCCAGGAACCGAGCGTGCGTAGTCGCCTCTCGTTCCCTGCAGCCGAGGCCCAGACTTCCCAGCCAGGGACGAAAACCACTCCTACCTCTCTAAGAGGGCGGAGCGCGGTCCCTTCGGCCAGGAACAAGGGCAAGGCCATTATGCTTCCCGCTAGTTCACCATTCGAGCAATGGATACTGGAAGAGCGCGTACCCACGGTTAAAATACCGTCGCATATCACATATGACGGGACCACGGATCCGAAGGACCACGTGGCCTCGTATGAGACTCATATGCATCTTTGCCCCAGATCCGAGGCGACTTGGTGCAAATATTTCCCAACCACTCTCAAGGGGGTCGCGCAAGCGTGGATCTCCAAGGGAGTAAGGCAAGGCTCCATAACAGGTTGGGATGATCTGTCCTCCAAGTTCAGGAGCAAGTTTTCCACGGCAAACCGCCGAGAGAAGACTACCGCAGAGCTCATGGGTCTGCAACAGGGGGAAACTGAAAGCCTCCGAGACTACCTGACCCGTTTCAGTAACGAGTCATCAAGCGTCTCCCAGCTGGACCAGGGGCTAGCTGTTTTTGCAATGCAGAATGGCCTTCAGCCAGGAAAATTCCTAGACTTTATGGTCATGCATACCCCGCAGACCTTGGAGGAAGCTCTTAGTGCTTCGGATAAGTTCATCCGAGCCGAAGAATGGAATAAAGCAAAAACCCAACCTCAATCCGGGGGAGGGAAACAGAGGCAAATACCCTTGTCTGAAGGCCAAGGCCATAAGGCAAAGGGAAAATCAA